GTGTTCAAGTTGTGATCGTTTAAGACCCCTTGGTGGTCTAAAATCAATAAGAGTTGGCTTCGGCCACCACGCAGGCAAAATTCAAAATTTCTTCCAACTGAGAATGGTAAACCCTATCCGTACGTAGTGTTTTACTAATCGTATCCGTACGACGTGGGGAACTCTGTGTCACCACCTTCCAAAGAGGAAATTTACTCGTTAATCCGATCCGTACGCTTTGCATAGCAGTCTGTCAAAATGATATTTTGAGAAATACTGAACGTTTCAAAGAGATCTTCGTACTAGAAGTATTCTAAAATGTAAAGAATTCAACTCCGGGGGTACAAAATGACCACAGGGTGTACAGATAGGGTTAACGTGTCCCGCACGCTCATATGACCTTATGCAGTTGCGAGCACCGTAAAACACTTACATTTACCAATCCAACCAGCCGCAGAGAAGAGGCAACTTTATGGCACAAAATTCAAACCGTCATAAGCAAATCAGAAACACGCATTGAAATAAGCCATATTATGACGATGCCTGATTTATCAAATTTCCAATAATTACAAACAGAATTCAAAAGTATCTTTGAACAACGAGGTTAGGCTATTTTCTAAAGTGCTCCAAAACAGTTTTGCTCCTTCTTTCCTCACAAACATCTATCGTCTTTATCTCCCCTCCTTCTTGTAAAACATCTAATCTTCGTCACTTCTATGACCTTATTGTGTTGCAAGTGCCGTAAAACGCTTACGAAAAAACTTCTCGAAGTGCCCTTCCAATGTAGTTTCCCTTTCTTCTTTTCCTACTCCTTTGTTCTCTTCTTTTCGGTCCTGCTCCTTCTTTCTTCGTGTTCTGTTTATGTAACCCCACCCCACCCCCACTCTCCCCGGAACCGCAGGGTGTGGTATAATGTGTTAAGTAGCATCATCTGAATTCTTTCATCCTCTTTCTTTTTTCCTTCTCTTTTTCTTTTGTCACGAAGCCAAAATTGCTTTGTCTTGGAAAAGTCTGGTTTGTGGTTAGAATATGCTACACAGTCACAATCACACAGACAAAACACGCACGGACACGCACACACATACATGCATACCTACATACATACATACATACATACATACATACATACATACATACATACACACACACACACACAG